AGGGCTGGAGGGGCTCTTGAGCCAACCGACTTACCGAAATGTTGGCGTCAACACGCAGCTCGCCAAGAGCAGCCTCAGCGGAGCATACGTCGAGATGGGCAAGCAAATTGGCCAATTCGGCAACGAATGAGGCGGCTTGGACACCGGAATGAAAGTCGGGCTGAGTCACCACTTCGGCTAGACCTACGCCTGTAGAATGCCATCGGAAGTTCATCGAGAAGGCAGACGATCAAAATGCAAAAATTATTGATAATAGTCTTGTAAGTGGACTCAGGTAGCCAGGGTCATATTTCGGCTAAGATTTACGTCTTAGTAATAGGATTTTGAAACTAATTATTTCTAAATTTAATTAACTGAGGCTTCATGAAAAGTGTTTTAAGCCTAAATATGGTTAAAAAACGAATCAGTCAGACTAGTCTTTATTCTTTTGGCTGAACTTAAACGGCTAAATATTCTCGACCTGTTGTGCGTAAACCGAAGAGGTTCGTTGAGTTAGCTGGACTAAAAGCGGTTTATTTCCAGCCCGGTTTACTAACTCAACAAATTTGTCATTTGGGCTAATGCTTTCGTTAAAACACGGCTCTCAAAATCTATGAGCCTATGCTGAGATTTCCTATATCACCTGGTAGCCATTTACAGAATGAAACAATAGTAGTTTAACTTTAAAATTACACTAAGTTAAAAATACTGGGCAATAAACATGATTATCTTGTAAAAGGGACTGGATACCCTGTTCCCGAGGCCTATGTGCGTGCACGTGACGCTTCAATAGAGGTGATTATATGCAAGTTTTTCAGGTACATAAGATCCAAGGTTAATCCTATTTTAGTACCGCAAACTGCCAAGGCTCCTTGGATTTTTTCAGGTTACAAAAATTTTAGAAATTATTACAGGATATATATATATATATACCTGAGCGATTGAGATCAATCAGACTACGAGAGTTTGATAGATCGTGAACGCTCTTGCCGGCATCCTGCTCCAGATGCAGACGAAGGATGCGAGCTCTTGAGATTCTTAAGCTTGAATTAACCGAGTCCTCCGAACAATGTTGATTAGACGTAACCACAGAACCAATTATTGGCCAGACATAATCAAAGTAGCCATCTAAGGCGATCGGATGATCTTTCTGAGTGATCTGGTAGCCTGCCGGCAAGTCAGCATAAAAGTAATGTTTTCGGTCAAAATAAGAAGTGTGGTTAAGTTTGCAGTTTAGGGCCAGCCCAAGAATCACAATGTTCTCTACGCATCTGATATTTAAAACCTGTGAGAAATAGGAGCGAAATGGAATAAAGAGGAATGTAAGCATTTGGTTGTTATATATTAACTAGTGAGAATAAGAATATTTCAGAATAAGTATTTATTCGCTAATAAAATTCTTGAATAACAAAATTTGGTTAAAAAGTTGTTTGACATTGTTTTTGCAACTTGGTCATTTTGGTAGGAAGACTTAGAGGAACCTACTTAGTCCGGAGTCCATTGTATGCATGATTATTTCCAAAGTTGTACCGTGGACGTGGTACTTTCCCAGACGTTTCGCCGGCATCGTCAGTGAGTCGCGCCATAGTACAGCTCGTCAAAGAGACAAGTGAAGTCTATCCTTTGACCAAGCGTGTGCTAAACAGTTGTGGTATCTCCCCTTCTGCCCTGGCCTATTCACATTTCCTATATCCTCCTATCACACCTTCCCTGTCACAATTTTTACCGTGCTTACTTTTAATGTAGTGTGGTGTGCTCCTTCGAGCGGCATTCATGAAGACCCTTCACACCTGACACAGTGGTTATCACCCCCTTTATTTAATTTATTTAATCTGCATCAAATGCAATGCGATAAGTATACATGCGAGACTTTGCAGCCTTCTTATTCTATACTCATAGTGATAGAGAGTGATATCCTCTATGGTGGTCATTTTAAATTAGCACACAAAGACGAAATATGGAGAATTGTTGGCTAACTTTTGACAAGAGGTATTAGTCAGCCCGGCCTATGTTTTAGCAAATCACCACTGAGATCGTCGTATTCCTCCTGTACTGAGAATTCGCTTGCCGTGCGACAAACAGCTTCAGATATAAAAAAGTCTCGCAGAGATGCAGCAAAAGCGAATAAAGGTGTACCAAGAATCCGGGATAAGCAATAGCCAATAGTAACAAATGACATGGTAGGCAAAAAGGCTTCAGGATTATGACGAAGACGATCGAAGAATAATCTAAAATAACCATCCAGAGATAGAATAAATCGTAGTTATGAAGACCAGGATGGTGTGGCCTTTGTTATAGTCACGATCTCCTTTCATTATACACAAGTTACTTGACCTTGTTTACGCAACTTGGTCGTATTGTCAGGAAGACCTAGAGAAACACAGCTTATCAGGAGTCCATGGTATGCATGATAATTTCCGGAGTCGGATCATAGACTTGGTACATTCTCAGACATTTCGCCGACATCGTCAGTGAACCTTGCCATTCTTAGCAGCACACTACAACTCATCAAAGAGAGAGATGAAGCAGT